CCCCTGCACTGTGGAGGTTGTTGGTGATGTCATTAAATACATATTTAGATGTTGCCTAAATGACAAGGCTATACATGAGCATATACCCATGGATATACACACAGGAAAATATAATAAAATAAAAGCAATACATACAGTATCTCACAAAAGTGAGTACATCCCTCACATTTTTGTAAATAATGTAAATTGGATTATATCTTTTCATGTGACATCACTGAAGAAATGACACTTTGCTACAATGTACAGTATTCAATTACATTTTTTCAATTCAATTTTATTTATATAGCGCCAAATCACAACAATAGTTATCTCAGAGCGCTTTTCATAAAAGAGCAGGTCTAGACCAGCACTCTGTGATGATATTTACAGAAGCCCAACAGTTCCCACCAAGAGCAAGCACTAGGCGACAGAGGCAAGGAACAATTTCCTTTTAAGAGGCAGAAACCTCGAGCAGAACCATGGCTCAGGGTGGGCGGCCATCTGCCTAGACTGGTTGGGGGTGAGAGAGAGAGAGGGAGAGAGAGAGGGCAAGAGAGGAACATGGAGATGTAAGGAGAGAGAGAGGAGAGGGAGGCAGCTTTCACAATACAGAGCCAGAAACACCTGCAGGAAGTGATAGTGTTACGCCCCTGTAAAAGGGGAAATAGAAAGTACGACACGGACACGATGTAGCCTCAGTCAAGTCCAATGTTGTAATGGACGAACGTAAGCCACACGTTCCGTACACAGGTTGAACGAGGCATGAGCAATCGTGAACCGATCCTCCAATCACAAACTAGTACTTAAAACTATACGTCAAAAAGAAAGTTAAACTTATGTAAACAATCAAACACTGCATATTGTTATTTAAGATGCATTTCCCCAAATTGATATAGAAGTTAAATAAAAAACATTTTAAACACAGATCGTCTTTTTATCCTATTAACCTTTTTAGCCTCTTTTACCCAAAAAGCAATAGATTACTGATCAGTGTATTTTAACTTTGTCCTGTTTTATAAAGGAATGAATTATCAGTTTTTACTCAAACAGTGTAATGATTCAAAGCATTCTAATTTTCCCTTTTTATGGACATTTTTAAGTATCTTTTAACTCATATCAACCCAACTTATATCCTCCCATTCAATTTATTCAGTATAACACCTTTTTTGATCATCCTTACGTGCTCACTTAATGTACTCAGTATTACATCATTTTCATCATCCTTACAATAGGAGGTGAGAGGAGAGGGACGAGAAAGGACAGGACTACGGGAAAGGGAAGAAGTCGAGTTAGTAACATGCATTAATGGGATGAGGTTGCATACAGAGCGAAAGAAAGAAGAGGAGAGAGGAGCTCAGTGCATCATGGGAAATCCCCCGGGAGTCTAGGCCTATAGCAGGATAACTAAGGGATGGTTCAGGACTCACCTGAACCAGCCCTAACTATAAGCTTTATCAAAGAGGAAAGTCTTAAGCCTACTCTTAAATGTGGAGATGGTGTCTGCCTCATGAACCCAAACTGGAACCTGGTTCCACAGGAGAGGAGCTTGATAGCTGGACGCTCTGGCTCCCATTCTACTTTTGGAGACTCTAGGAACCACAAGAAACCCTGCATTTTGGGAGTGTAGCGCTCTGGTGGGGTAATAAGGTACTATTCCAGGTTGCCCCTGGAATCCTCTTCCACTCCTCCATGACGACATCCTAGAGCTGGTGGATGTTAGAGACCTTGCGCTCCTCCACCTTCCGTTTGAGGATGCCCTACAGATGCTCAAAAGGGTTTAGGTCTGGAGACATGCTTGGCCAGTCCATCACCTTTACCCTCAGCTTCTTTAGCAAGGCAGTGGTCGTCTTGGAGGTGTGTTTGGGGTTGTTATCATGTTGAAACACTGCCCTGTGTTTGCTTGTGTTTGTAGTCATTTGGGTTTATTCTTTATTCTGTTCTGTATTAGTTTCCTGCCTGGTTACCTTACTGTTTCACTCTGTCTCGTTTAACTGTGTGTCTGCTGTGCCTAATTAGCTGCTCATGTCATTCACCTGTGCTCTTCATCTCTGCTTGTTTGCCTGTGCATGTTGTGTCCTTGTCGTCCCAGTGTTCTGTCCCATCCCTGCGCTTTTGGATTATTTCATTGGATTGTACTTTTTTTCTCAAAAGCCAATCATAATTGCTACCTCAGAGGGCACACTTTTGGAGCAACTAGAGGTTAAGTGTCTTACTCAGCGACACACTAAAGGCATATGTCTTAACTACTACCCTATTCATTTTCAGAATACTTTATTGACTACAGGCCTACAGGTGCGGATATACTACAGCACGTTACTTCTGCCAATAAACCAATGGATTGTGTGTCTTTGGAACAAATCTGTCAAATGAGTTAGAGGCTGATGTGCGGTTTGTTCCAAACACTGTGAATCAAGCGTAGAAGCTTGATTCATCATCGAAACAGGGCTGAAACGCAACGAAGCCTTGCTTCACTGCGGTCACGTGACACTGACGTTTTGAACCACGCTTTGGAGCAGTGTTTCAAAACATCTGTGCTTCGGGATCTCGACACAACGTCGACAAGTCAGTATCGAGTGTCCCATCCCTACCTCTCGGACGTCTTCCACGGCACCCTCTCGGTTCCCCCCCGTGCCTCACAGTCAGCCTGCTACCACACTCCTCCACCAACCCCCCCGGTCAGTTCTCCCATGCCTCCACTCTTCCTCTGCCCCCGATGCCTCCCAGTTCCCTCGTCCCACCCTCCTCGGTCCCACCTGCTCCTTGGCTCCCTTGCCTCAGCCCCCTCTACCCTACTTGCTCCTCGGTCCCCCGTGCCCGTGCATCCACCTCTCCCTCACCTCCACTTCCTCGACCCCTTTTTCCCCTCTTTCACCTGAGTGTTGCTTTTGGGTCCTTTCTGTCCAACACACAACAGTCAGCTGTGACTGTGCAGCAGACCGGCTCTAATTTTGTCTTAGCCAGTTTGGTAACGTGGAGTTTTGAAATATAAACACCTGAAAACTGAAGCCAACTTTGCTCTGTTTGGGAATGTGAGTTGCGCTTTATGAGAGGTGCTGAAGTTAACATGTATGTGGATTTTCGGTGAGATTGTGAATTTAAGTGTTTCACTAAATTTACTGAATTTTTTTGCTGAAAATACAAATTGTTGTGTACCAACTTAGTTCTTCAAATTATATTGATAATTGTTCAGTGACTGAGTGTTGAGCTGGCCTTTCTCCACCTAGTGGTAGCTATATTTTTAGGCCTCTAGGAATTTTTTTTATTTCACACAGAGCACAGGAAACACATGTACTTCAAGTATTTGCACATGTTGTTCAGGATGTGCATGTGAATCAAAATGTGTAGTTTGTATTTAAATAAAAATTGTAGTGGCATTGTTGTTGCATATGAACAGTGGAAAAAAAGTTATGAATGCATGAGAAATAAAGATGTTTAGCTAAATAAGTTTATCACTGATGCACTCATCTACCAAAATCTATTTGAATTAAAATGTTTTAAAAGCATCATCACGGTAAATATCGATATATAGTTTAATTAGCTTAATAGCTTAATTTGATTGATTAATTACAAAACTACACACAAGTTACAAAACTTGTAATTAATTTGATTATTTTTTTTATATTTATATATCTATTATTATTATTATTAACAAGGTCAAACTTCAGTTAATAGTCTGACTAACTATCAGTCCATACATTAAAAATAAATGACATGTACAAACGCTGCTGGCACACTGGATGTCTTCATCTTTGTATATATATACTGGATGACTTTTCTTGAGTAACATTTTTTATCGGGTATCTATACTTTTACTTAAGTATGAAAATAGAGTACTTCTTCCACCACTGCATTTCACACAGAACTCCAAAAATGGACTGGACAAAATTATTGGCACCTTTCATAATCTTCAGAAATAACTGTATTTGAAGCATGTGATGCTCCTTTAATCTGTAATTGAATTCACCTGTAGGAATTCACAAGCGCTGGCAAGAAATCATACTCCTAACCAGTTACAATGGAGAAAGGTTGACTAAACCTTTGTGTTGTATGTGTGTGTGTCTGTGTGTACCACATCTAAATATGTATATTTCTAGCCTTCTTTTATTGCTGGTTTTGTATGTTTACCCTACTGTGGCATATGGATCACTATTCTTGCTGTACCAAAAATGTGAAAATCTAATAAACATATTTGAATAATAATAGCAAGCAACACAGTGGGCGAATAGTTAATTTTTATGTGAGGTTACAATCCATTCACAAATAGGCAATAAAAAAGATTGATTTCATAAGAAACTACATATGAACCTTTAAAAGACAGACAGAGCTAAAATCGCAGCTAGCTATTGTATTGTATGGTCTGAAATGGTTTAGAGGCCAAAAATATGTTTTTTATTAAACAAAAACAGGTGATTGTCTTAAATTCAGATACTTTACTTGCCAATGGCACAATTTTAATTTTCTAAATATCCAATAGTTCAACAACTGCTGAAAAAGCTAGTAGTAGTTCCCAATATTTAGAAAGTTAGTACAATCTCAAAAATGCTCTTTCTGGCTATGGTTCTGGGGGGAAAAATCCTTCAGATCTGCCTGTGATAGTTAAACAGAGTGTATGAGACATTTTAGTCACATCAGTAACTTTATGAGTTGGAGCTATCAACCTCTATATTCTGATTCTCTTCGATTTTCAGTGCTTAATCTTGTTATTGATATGCTGCTTTTATACATAACACAAAAACCTACAATACAAATGCAATAAAATTGTTTTATAAAAATATGTTGTTTTCTTTATAACTGCCTCCCAGAAAACAATAATAATGTGCATCAAAGCAATCTGCAATTACACACTAAAGAGACAGAGAGCTTCAATATTAACCTAAGTAGCCTAAATTGGACCTCATGCTGAATAAACATTTAGGCAATTTTGCATTGTTCAGCGCTGGATCACAAAAAGAACTGGTAAACTCCACAGAGTCTATACTTCCTGTAGCTGCTTCACAATAAAATTCTTCAAGACAAGTCAGTCATGTCCCAGAATGGCTGGAGAGGTTTATTGTAAAGTTGTGCTGAGTTACAAAACACAGTAGATTCATTCAGAAAAGAGAAGCAGACATGAAAACAAGACAAACCTCATTCCTTTTTAAATGCAACTATGAGGTATCCATGACCTTAAAACATTACTACATTTGATTGAAATAAATCTTTCTTGTTTAATAATTGATTTTAGAAATAAAATATCAGCTTATTTGTATGTTTTAAATGTTGTATCAAAAGATGAAAGAAAACAACATGCATTTTCTATTACACATCAGACACGATCAAAACTACATATGCAAAGAGACAAACTGTTTGATCATAAGAACTTGTTTTTAGTATGTCTTTGAAGTTATCACACAATCACAAGCAAAAGTTAAAACAGTTAGCAGAAAACTAGTCTTTTTGTAGTTGTAAATGTGTCACACTGCTGACTGTAGTTCTTACCAATTTTTGAAATTGTTATTCGATCTCAAATTGATTTCAAACTAGATTATTTATTGTATTTATATTATGTTATTTATTTACTTTGTATTTTGAATTTCATGTTGAATCATTTGTGGGATGTTACACAAGTATCTGTTCCTCACAAGAGCTGTTTTTTCAATGCTTTCACACTACTTTACTGTAATTTACATGTCCTAAACAGAAGGCACAAGAAAGCATACACAGAAATGGTCATTTTATATTTACTTTCTTCACTGTAATTTTGGATCGCTTTCTGATTTTTAATATTTTTTTCCCAGATTGTTTGATTTCTTTTGTCTGCAAAACATAAATGATCGGGTTCAACATGGGGGGGAAGACAGAGGTCAGAGACAGGTTTATGATCCTGGCATCTGGATGTATACGTGCACTCATAGTAAATGTGATTAATACTGGGATGAAATAGATTGCCACTAATGAAAGATGAGCTGTGCAGGTTTTAAAGGCCTTCACTCTTTCGTGAACTGTGGATACTTTAGACAATGTATAGCCAATATATAAATAACTTAACAAGATAAATACCAGTGGAAGCCAAAGAATTAGAAGTGGTAACAACATACCAATGACAGTGTTGGGAAAATAGTCATTGCAGGCAAGCTTGTACATCTGGCCATGGTCACAGAAATAGCTATTAATGACCACAGACTTACAGTAGGAAAGTCTTGTCAGAAGGCCAACTGCAGTAAGTATAGCAGTAATGACCAAGACCCAGAAAGAGGCAATCAAAGACAGCATGGACCTGTGGGTCACCTTCACTTGATAGTGCAGTGGGAAGATTATAGCTATAAGTCTGTCATAGGCGAGTGCGACCAGATTAAGAGCCTGCATTGAAAGGCAGGTGTAGCAGAAAAAAAGGAATGCCATGCAGTCATTGTATGGGATGTAGGGATGGTTAAACAGAAAAATGTCAAGAAGTTTAGGCACCAGAGCAGAGCTACCAAACAAGTCCACAAATGCAAGGTTAAAAACTGCAATGTATTTTGGAGTTCTCAGATTATGATCCATGATTATTACAACCATTACAGCTGTGTTTCCCAGTACTGACACAATATAAACAAAAAAGAGAAAGACATAGTAATACTTGATATTTGGGATGTCAGATAAACCACTTATGACAAAATATGCAGGACGCACAAAAGTGATGTTTTCCCCAAGAGCAGAGTTGAACAAGTTCATTTCAAGTTTTCTTCTCCACAGTGCAGTTGTTGATGTAGATAAATGTTCTCTTCAGCGTGTCAGTGCTGTGTTCTGTTGTTCTCTTGTGATCATGAAGCTGTGTCAGGCTTTACCTGCTTTGACAGGAGTGGCTAATAAAAGGAGCAGCCCTCTTCTGAGCTCATGTCAAATAAAGTCAATGTTCAATCTCCTGTGTCTCTTGTACATAAGCCACTCAGCGCCATACAAACCCTTGATCAGTCCAATAAACTCATTGCACTCATCCAAACTACTTATTACATTATCAGATATACCGGTCAACTGGATATATATCTCAAAATACACATTTTATCTAAAATAACATACCATACATTCTCAAATAGTGCAAACATTATGATCTTGTGGAATATAATGCACTTCTGTTGATAACTACCAACAGTATAAACTATAGTTAAAATGAGCTAAACCTTAAACAGCAGTAAACTGCAGCATACACATTACTGTAGCAGTAATAATCCAAAAACATCACATACAATAGTAAAATGCTGACAGGGACCATTTTACTGCACAATGACCACTATAAGTATGTATATATATATATATAAAATAAATAAATAAAAAAAATAAAAAATCCCCTCTCACACCTTGCGGGGTGTGTTATCCTCAAGCTCAAGTCCTTGGAGTTTGAGGGTTCTGCGTAGTATCTTAGCTGTTTCTAGGACTGCACTCTTCTGGACTGAGACCTCTGATGTTTTACCTGGAATCTGCTGTAGCCACTCTCCCAGTTTGGGGGTCACAGCCCCCAGTGCTCCGATATATATATATATATATTGTGGGGGGTAGTTATGTTACTTTAGTCAGCAATAAAGTGTGTAGATAAAGATCAGGTTGCAGTATAATAGTTACTCAAAGGCTGTGTGTTGTGTTTGCTGCCACAGAAAATAAATGAAAAGTCTGTGTTTCTGTAACACTACTATGGCCTCTTCTCCTCTTCACAGCAAAGTTGGAAAACTCAAATAAGACCATATGGTCATATGCTATGTGGCACATTCATTAATATTCAAATATATAACAAATATTTTCAACACATCGCCCAAACCTATGGCTATGGTTCTGGAATAAAAACCATCAAATCAGTGTGTGGTTGTTATGAATGAGAGTGATATGTATGAGAGATTTCAATCAGGTTTAAAGGGCCATCAGATCAGTAACATACTTTTATCACCTGTTGCTGTGAACCTTTCCATTCGGTCTCTCCTCAGTTGTAAAAACATGGGCAAGCAGTAATTGCAACAAATTTCTACTGATTTAAGTAAACCTTTGGCAAGACTTTCATGATAGCCTAGAGTAACTCTTAAGTCCTCCATCTACAGTAAGAGCCTCTTGCTGGGTCTCAAACGGTTCAGTGCTTTAATCTTGTCATCAATATGCTGCCTCTTTAAATTCATCATAATAATATAATCATAAGATATAATAAAAGACTGTATAAGTAATGTGTGTGGTCTCTGGGACGTCCCCCATAGGTTTCTGAAGAAGGATTGTAAAGGTCCGCCACCTACTTCCAGCTAATACTCAATAACCAAAGTGGCCGTGCCCTTAATTATGCATAACTTTAAGCCTTAATATAATTTAAATAGGTAAATTATATAAAAATTCACCCTGGTACTGCTGACGAATGTTAACGAATGAGGAAATTAGTATAGAGAGCAAAACGGTTTTTTTTGCCATATCTTTTGTCATGGTTTTGGGTTTAAATGTTATTTCCTGTTTTATTTTGTTAAACCCTTTCTCTTGTTTTTGTGTTTACTCACTTCTTGTTTTCTTATTCTCTGTCGTTTTGTACTTGAGTCATTTTTTCATTCATTGTTTTCAGAACCTACTTTAGATGTTCAAATATATTTCAGAATATGCTCAGTGCCAGAGGGAAGTAGACTGTTTCTGCTGATATATGATATTTTTTTATATAATAAATACTGTATGTCCAAAAAGTCAGAAGGAACAAACGGTTTTTTGCTGCTTCATAGAATCTGATTGTTTGCTTCTTGCAGTCCTCATAAGTAAGAAGTTCACAACTGAACTATTTTTGACTCCCTTGTTGAAAGCTGGGACAACTCTGTCTAATGAGGCTGTTAATGAGGTGTTTGTTGACACTGCTCTTGCAGGATGATGACACATCCAGAACAGATAAACAAACACTACAGGGACGATCAACAGAGCGGGGGGTTATGTTAGGTCAAAACAGCAAGAATTACATTGCCTCATGAAGTTAGAAACTTTCCATAATCATGGATAATTTTAATAGGAACAACAAGTATATAATTATTTTTTGGTTTGTCTTGAGGATTGGAATGGAAATTAACTCTGAGTTTAACAAAAATTATCCCTAAAATGTATACACCTTTGTACCCTAAAGTATTCTATACCCTGTTGGTGGAGTGGTCAGTGCCTTGTTTAAGGGCAGTTCAATGAGAGTTGAGCAAGGACAGAAATGTTACATATCAACAGTCCCACACAAGATTTTCCCAACTGGTCAGGAGTTTCAATCCAAGAAATCCAAGAAACAGTTCTTGGTCACTAGTTTCATGTTTTCTTCAATAGAACATGTTTAGTAAATTATGGTCCCATTTAGAGAAAAATAGACCATAAAGCAGAGTATTAAGGGCGATCTGTGATTGAAAAGTCGCTACAATGGCGACATGTCAATCAGGCTGGGGTGACTCACACCCACAGCACCGTGTAAATTTAACCAGGAGTTAGGAGTTGGCTGTTCACTTTCTCTGGTGAGTACATTTAATTTTAAGTTTAAGTTGTTTGCTAGACAAAATTATTGGTTAAAATGACAGTAGTAGTAAACAGAAATTACACATGCACCTAGTTAAGTAAGCTAGCTAGCTCCACACACGGCCGTTAGTCCAAATATGGTCACTTAATCCAACATGGCGGCGCCCAATCGGCCAAACTAGAGGCTTCAAAACCGCAGTCCACAAACCAACGGGTGACATCACGATGACTACGTGCACTTCTTTTATACAGTCTATACAGTCTATGGGGTAACGCCTGTTAAACCACAAATTAATGTTTTTGCATTGGTTTTTGTATGGATTAAACAAGCCTGATTTAATATATTAATTTGTGAGTTAAAGTTGCTTGGAAGGAGATTTTTTTTTTTTACCTTTAGACAGATCCAGGATATCTAGGCCCCCCTGCTTCCAGTATTTATACTAAGCTAACCAAATGCTGACTCTAGCTTTAAATTTCATGCACAAACATGAGAGTAGTATCGATCTTCTAAAAATGAACAAAATACAAGAAATGATATGCTTGTCTTACTGCATGACTTTGCTTAGTTGTCATACACTACACTTCACTTGGACATTGTTTTTCATTTCAAGATAAACAACATCAGCCTTCTCATTAGAGACCTAATTAACTAGTGAAGCATTTCAAGTGAGTAAAGCCTGGAGTACACTATTTTCAAATCTTAACTGACTTTAAAAATGTGGGATACCACAGACATAACAAAATATTTTAATTGTAAGAACGAAACCCGTTATATGATTCACTAAAGTCAAGACGCAGGACTACACGCTTGGCTTTTATTAAATTATTTCCAAGTGGCAATACCAGGGACTTGCGTGATAAAATGTGACAAACATGGAGGTAGACTGCTGTCATCAGCTAGTTGCACTTGTGTGTGCAGTGTTTTGCACCAAAAAAACAAAAAAAGATTAAAAAAATTATGATGAACTATAGCGGTGTAACGGTACATGTATTCGTACCAGACCGCACATGTGCACCAAATGCAGTCTTTAACGTCATATATTTGGCTTGTTTTGTGTGTGGAACATACATAAATTCCAAGTTTCCACACGGACATATTAAGTGGCGGACCAAATCTTAACCAAATTAAAATTTTTAAAGAATAAATTCAGAAGGTCGGTGATTGTTCCCTCTGGCTGGAGGAAGCCAGACGCTCCAGTCATAAATGAGAATAAAATTTAATTAATCGCACAGCGCTATGTTGATGCGCTACGCAGCTTTATTTATCATAATTTAGGCTATATTTATTCAGGGGGAGTGTCAAGTCAGCTTGAGTCAAAAGGCTCAAGTCTAAGTGAAGTCACGAGTCATTGGTGTCAAAGTCAGAGTCGAGTTCCAAGTCCTTTTTGATTTAGTCAAATTGAGTCTAAAGTCAAACTCGAGTGCACACCTCTGCCTCACACTGTAGGATAATTTGGGCAGATAATCTGTTCAGATTAGCCTTGGATCGGAACACTCCCGCAAACATTCTAAGTTGCATATTTATTTTGATAAATTTAGGCCAAAAATTAACAACATCCCTCAAATGTGTTCAACTGAACTCAAAGGTCAAAACTCCAGCAACTCTTAAATTGTCCAAAAGGAGTACTATTATCTGCATGCACCAATGATCATTCAACCATTTAAAATGAAAACTAGAAAACTCTTTGTACTATTTGTATATGTATGTGTTCAGGTGAAAGCAAGAGGGAGATGGATATCTGCATCAAAGAAAGTGTATTGTAAACTCCTGGGATACATACATTCCTAATCCTTATTAATTCAATCTGGCTCAGTGTTTGGTGTCTAAAACAATATCGGAACCTACTCAAGAGACTATTGAAGCTCCAGGGCCACGAAACCTCTAAACTACAACGACTATCCGTAGGGATTTACTATTAAGGCATTGTTGCCAAATTAATGAAATTAGCTCTCTGGGTATGCTGTATAACAAGTGTTTAGATTCTCCCACAAAGGGAGATCTCTTCTGGAAATAAATGACAAAGAGGACAAAATGATGGGATGGATCCAGTGCCTCAGGCCAGCAGGAAACAGTTCATTACACTATTCTACATTCTGCAAATAGAAGCTCACAAATTATTAGGGCTGGGTATTGTTCAAAAATGCTACCAATACCAATTTTATAAAATCCATTTTAACAAAAGAAAATCACAATACACATTTATACAATTACTCACTTAAACAGTTTTTACTCAGTGTACTTAACTCAACCTGGATAACTGGACTTAAACAAGAAACTGAAGCAATGTCTGTAAACAGTATTGGACTATACAAAAATATAATTAACTGTTAAAAGGAACATTAATTACAAACAGTATGGCAGCAATAAGCCATTGTACCATCTACTCTCCCTAATTCAAAGAAGAAGAATAAGGGATTAACTGTGTGGGTTTTGGTACTTGGAAATTGTAGAAATTGTAGCCAAGTGAGACCTCTTACTTTTCTGTGCTAAAGCTAGCCCTTGATGTCAGTCTGACAGCCATCCACCATTTCTCTCCATGTACATGTCAGTCCAAGCCGTTCTCACTTCCAAGTCCTCACATATGGACGCATGGTCAAATTGTTTCAATGTGTATCGAGCATCGAAAAATGCCTTGGCCACTGTTGTTACTACCAGCTGCTGTTAACTTTGTGCTGCTTGTTAGCTATA